TTTTTTTTTTGATTAGTTGAAAAAGAAACAAAACCATAGCGTTGGTTCCTAACAAGGAAACAAAGAAACATCCAGACAAGTTACTTCGAACGGCCGGATTTATAGTAAAAACAAGGGTCCAAGAAGCTCTGAGCAGCTGCACAAGTTGAGTTGCAGCTTCTGTTTAGACTGGATGTTATTCCATTGAATTATAGTTTATATTAGTCTAAGCTTTATTATGTGCTATTTGTTCATTCTTCTTTTAGAATGCTGTTCAAGAAACCCATAAAAGGAGTAAAACTGGCCCACTTGGACATCTGCAGCTTAAAACAAAGCCAGTGAATTACGTTCCAGTCAAATGTACAGATGAAACTGTCGAGGACACAGCAGTAGCTATGCAGTGGTGTAATATATTTCGACTCGGCAAGTAAATATGGAGGCAATATTGCATTTTATATTCAGGCGCTTTCCAATTAAAACAAGAAGGGATCTCGGTGCGTCTGGCGTAGAAGCTCTACGGCTTCAGGTGCATCTCCCACGTCTCGTGAACCGACATCAATATGCAGTTGCCGTACGTCACTAAATTCAAGTATGGAACGCTTTAATAATATATGCGCAATAGTCAAAAGAGCCGCTGTTTATATTCATGCAGATATGAACATAGGTTGGCTTCTTTTATGATTGCCATTTGAAGAAAACAGTGAGTGAGGTGAAACCTTTCTGAAGTGACAAATCTACCAACCTGAACTAGCATGAATTGAAATGCTGACCCAATTTTAATATGTATTGACCATTAATTAAACAAGGCATGCATAACTGGACATGGATGTGTCTTGATACATCTTGGACCAAGTGAATAAGCCGATACAAGAAGAGATTTTCAGACTGGAGTTGTTCAAAATAAAGCTGCAAGATTAGCACTTGGCTTTTACTTTAGATTTTATGCATCAATGGCCGTCAAGGTTCGCGACTACTAGCATGTAGCCTTTTTAGTTTCTTGACATAATGTCTGGATTTTACATAAACTCTGACGTCTTCTCGCAGCTGTTACCCAGCTGCAATAGACATGATTTCATAAAAGACGAGCCTGTTTGTTACTTTTATATTACTTCTGTCCAGAGACAGAAGTAATAAAGCCCATTTTAAATTAAAACATGTCGTGTTTTGAAATAACATAAAAAGATCTTAAAAAAACAACTAATAAATACTAAATTGAATGGATGTGTTGACTTTTAACATCCTTTGAAATGGCTGTGGCTGTTGACTTGTACTTTTTGTGAAGTTTCCTTTCGTGAGGTCTCTTAACATCGTGATTTTACTGTAATGCTTGAGTGATCCTTAAATAAACTAGACTCAACTCGACGCTTGGCTTCTTTTTAGATGCTAGTGGACACTTGGGAGAAAATCCCGAGGACAATTCGGGACTTTCTCTCGAACAGTGAAGCAGACAAGAGAAGGAAGCATTTCAAACCAAGAGGGTGGCATTTTTAATCAGTGTATTGTTGACAATATAGCAAGTTATGTTAGTTAAAATCTCAGTTGTGTTGAGGGGGGGAAAAAAAAGAATTTGGAACAACATATACATACGATTAAATCAACGTAAAAGAAAAATCCAAATTATTCACAACCACTTTTTCTTTTTTTTCGTTTTTTTTTTTTTTTTTTTCTTGCTCCATCCATTACACAACACGGCATTCACACAGGACTACGCTCACACAGAAACTAAAAGGCTCCGACGGCCCCAGAAACAGTCGCGCCGGCCGGTTCCGTCGAGCCGTTTTGGATATTCTTCTGTTGGTACAAAAATGGTCATTCTGACAAAAATAATAAATCGCATCTAGTCTGGTCATCCACCTAGCCGTCCCTCTCTGCTTTCGGTTGCGCCCCCTTGTTTTATGTACAAGTGAGAAGGCAGTATGGCCGCACTGTTTGTAAATAAGGATATTTACTGATATCTCTTTTTATTTTTTTAATTTTCTCCCTAGTCGTACAAAATAATATTTTTCTGAGGTAAGAACCGAGACAGTATCAAAATAGTAAAATAATATTTTACTAAATGCACCTCATATTTGGAAAAGAAAACAACTATGGTCATTAAAACTGAATTACGGCGATAAAAGAGCAGCAACAACAGATGGGTAATAAAACAACAACAACAAAAAAATAAAACTAGCAGGTCAGAAGCTGTGATCTTCAATGTGTTTCAACAGTTTGATATCCGAGCCAAACTCAAGACACGGGAGTCGGGAGACATCACAGTTTCAGTTTAATGCTAACGCTAATTAGCATTGAACCCAGTACGACCGATGCACCTAAAAATGGCTGATTTTCAGCTTGATCGCCACTGACCCCAAACTGACGTGTAAAAACCAACCGATTTCTGACGAGTGAGTCCACCATACCAAAGCGCTACAAGGCTGCAGTAAAAACACTCTTTGGCGTAGATGCTGTTACTGAACAAAATCAGTGGAAGCAGAGCGATGTCAGAAGTTATTAAAAAGAAATAGCCTTGTCTAACACATCTAGGGTTCATTTTGGCAGAGAGAAAGAAAGACTCTCAGGAGATAACAGGAAGGCTAAACAGAGAACTAAGTTTTTTGTTTTTTTTTACCCTGTTACATTTTGGCCTGTCATGGAAGATAGTGGATTTGGAAATCCTGACAGATTTCAAGCAAATACACAAGAAAATGACAGTTTTAGTAATTATAATTATGCTAACCAAGCTATGTGTAACAGAAGATGCTAAATATAGCTTAAAATGTCAATTCGAAATTTTGTCATTTTAAAAAATGAGTTAAACCTTGCTTAACAGTGGTCCATCTAACACATACACACAGTGTGACGTCACCTCTTCTAATACACATTGTACTGAATAGGCAAAAATCATATATTGTCAGGTCAAAGCTATACAAAACCAGAGATAGGTGCATCGCCACTAACTGTGGCCGACAAAGCAATACCGCACCGAGTCATGAATTTGACTTGGTGGAACTAAAAGAATCAGAGGAACTTTTGCAGCTGCTAATATGCAGCTGGTGTAAAATGAAGAGGTTTGAAATATCACGGGAATTAACCTAATCGTCACAACCAGCTGCTCTGTCCGGAAAGCTCCCCCTACCACCCCCTTCAAATATTGTGCTTCCTGTGATGTCACCGGCTCCGAGTTCCTCTGAAATCCCCCCTGCAAGCTCTTCACAAAGTGAAAGTCCAACACTGGAAAGCAGGTCAACAAAGCACAGAAAAGCCATCGAGGCCTGGAAGAGCGGGCGACTCGGAGCAGATGGCGAGCGAACCGAGCCGATGGGTAAATGGGCATTCAATTCAACGGACAGCTTTGTTGACTGACTTAAGGCAGTGATACTGGAGGTCTGCTGACCTGCTCGACTAACTATAAAAAGACCGTGTCCCTCCCCTACTCCCCCCCCCCCCCTTCCAGATCCAAAGGCCGACAAACTCTTTGTGTCCTCTAATCCTTCCATCAACAGTTGCATTTGCATAAAGGAATACGACACAGTTGTTTAAAGGAAGAAAAATACCTGTATGCACACTCACAAACAAACATACGTATCAGGACAGACACTTAACACACATTTCAGCCAGGAACCAGGAAATTAGAATCATTCATGAACACAACGTCATCGTCATCATTATCGTCATCTTCATGCCAGTGAAGAGAACTTTTGAGATGTATATATATCTTTTTACATCATCTTACACAAAAGGCTGTGCATTAGCCATCATGAAGATCGAGCAAATTTTGAAATTCCGTATTCGTACACACAAAAAACGCAAACATTCTGAATGGATACTTTATTTTCACTCGAGATTGTGGCTTTGAATTGGATCTTCGTGATGAGAATGCACTGCGGGCAAAACATAATGGGACACAGAGACGATCGTTCCTCTACCTTCGGCGATGCGTCCGTGTTGGCAGCGCACACGCAACTACAGTTCAGGCTGCGACGATTAATTAAAAAGCAGGACAATTTGGAAAATGACGTGACATTACCATCTATAGTTACAGTTAAAGGGTTTAGGATTAACTGCTACCGAGGTGACGCGAAACATGACTAATTAACGTATTTCAGTGTTTTCAGTGCACAGCAGTTCACAAGGATCATCAGTTCTTCCTTCACATAGAGGGCAAAGCGAAGCCGCTTCAAATTTGTGGCTTTTTTTTTTTTTTCCATTTTCTGTACAGAACGACACGCAGAAGTGTTACCGCTTTCCCTCTGTCGCAATCCGCCTCGGTCGAGGCACACCGCCCCGTCAGCAGCCGGCTAAACACATTCAGGGAAGCTGCGAAGTATTCTGGCCTAACAGTGCAACAACAAGCTGAAATTCAATTTGAGGCAGCAGCACATTGGATAGTATTTTAGTGTATGCGTTCTTACTTCTTGTACTACCTCGCTTTCCTTTAGGAGGAGTTCTGTTAAACTTTATAAACTAGTTTCCAAATTTTTAACCTCCTAAAACTTCCTCAGAATTTCGGAATTCAGATTAAAATTTTTTCTTAAAAAAATCTTCAGGGGGTTTTATGTTTTCAGGAAAGTTTTTTTTTTTTTTTGTAATTTTAAATGCCTCCATTTTTGATGTTGAAGGGTGAAAAGGTGAGGATCTGGGAGTACGACTTCTTTTAGGCTTTAGAACATGTCGGGGGGCCTGGGGAGGCCGCGCTCAGTGCAGCAGCTCCTCAAGCTCGCCGTCTTTCAGCTTGGCATTGTCTCTGACTTCATCAAATGTGTAGTTCTTCACAATCTTCCCGTTCTGAAACACCGTGTGCAGCAGGTCCTGAAAAAAACAAAACAAAACAAAAAACAGGAAACGAAGAGGGTAAAAAAAAAAATCCCTTGTACTTCTACTTCACAATTGGTGTGTGCCTATAAAACAAGTCGGCCATTTATTGTTTTAAAGTGACAAAATGTAAAAAATCTAAAGGGGTGTGATTATTTTTGAAGTTTTTCCAAACTCACCACTCCATACTCCTCCAGATCCCCCTTGCCCTCCTCTAAAGTGACAAAATCTCCGCTTGGCGTCCGGTGCAAAGACAGGCGACCTTTCTTTGACCTCTTGTTGGGGTCTGCCACCGGATCCTTGAACACATTCACCTGAGAAACCACACACACACACGCGCACACACACACACACACAAAAAAAACAATCTTTTGAGTCAAAGCATGAACGTGTTGAGGGTTATCGCACGTTAATTCAGTAGTTTGCGAACACTCACCCCCAGTCCGTTCGTCACCACGTAGCTGCATTTGAATGAGCAGTTGAGCAGATCTCTGGTCAGTTTTTGCAACAAAGCCCCTCCGGATCCAAAGGCAATGTTCTCGATGGACCACATGTGATGTTTCATACCCTCCACTATCTGATGAAACACACCCACAGCATAAACTCGCGTGTTGAAACCTTGAACGTCTATCGTGAGATATCCAAGAACTCTTACCTCCTGCAGTGTGTTGATATCGACTCCGTCTCCTTGAATGACTCTGATGTAAGGAGGCAGCACTTTGAAACCTTTAGCGTTCTCGTGCGTCGGAAACTTCTTGCCGAGTATCTCCAAAACCTGACGGCATTAAAGGGACTGTTAGCGGCACGTTTGAAAGGGATGTCTTACCAGCTTGTTAAGATTTCTGTTATGTGGACCTTCAAAACCGTGTCCAGCGGGTTTCCCGAGTCCGGTCGGACGACCAGCGGGGCGTCTGCGCTGCGGGCCTCTATCAGCGGCCGCAGGTCCTCTCCCCAGATCTTCTCGCAGGCGTTGTAGATGTCGTAGCTGTCACTGACGATGGACACAGGCACGTTGGGGAACTGCTTGATGATGTGCTCAAAGGCGTCTTTTTCATGGTCCTTCCCCCATGCTGTTATGGTGCTGCAGAGAGGATTGCTTTTAGCTGTTGATGTTGTTGCAATTCAGAGAGCAGTGTTATATAGTGGTTGGCAAAATAGCTAAAGCTCAAACTTTGACGGATTGCACTTGGATTTTAAGAGATAACCCGACTGGAAAGAGTGCCTAACTGTTGTATTGTAATATATGCAAATTATTATTACTGTCAAAATTACAACTACATGCTATAATCTAGTAAAACATTAAGATGTAGATGGATTTTACCCTAACAGGGATCAGGTTATATACTGAACAGTTTTGAAAATGACATGGTTTTGATTAAAGCATATTCAAGTGTTTGAATTGTCAAATCAAAGTCCAGGCCTCAATTCAAATTGGTTACAAAATGCATGTCACACTTTTTAGATTTTTATCTGTACAAATACTTGAAATTATTTTCCTTCCACTCCCAGATATCACAGCTAATTCCTGGGAAAATCTCAACAAAACACAAAAGCTTAAGGCCAATCAGCACTCTACAGCTCAAAAAGCCAGAAGGATTAAGATGCACTAAAATGAATGGAAAAGACTTTTACCATCCAGAACCCTTCATTAAACACACAGAAGACGAAAACAATCTGCTGCAACAAACATTAAAAGCAGGACACTGTGCATTGAAATACTCCCTAAAAAAAAAAAAAAAAAAAAAAAAAAAAAAAAAAAAAAAAAAAAAAAAATCAAGCTAGAATCACATGACATCAATAAAATTGCACTTCTACAGGCTTTCCAGAAGAGGGCAGTGTACACCATCTGTTAAAGACATAAATTAACCTTAGAGATTTTATTCAGGCCATTACAGGCATAAACACTGTAGCTTAAGGTTAGAAAAAACCCTAGTCACTCGCAGGGTCACAGTATTGCATACGAAAATGATCAAGTTCATTTCATAAGCAAAGAAATTTGAAGTGCAAGACTAACATATTGTTATTTTATGTCAGGCTCAAGTTTTCTAAAGCTATAAAACTGACTCATTTGAAAATGATTTTTTTTAATAGAATGAAAGTGCTATTTTCTTACTTTCAGTTTTACATACAAATTAAAGTGGAATTTTCCAGCGACTCCTCCCAGTGAGGAAGAAATGAAACAGATTTTATAACGGGGCCATTACACAGGAACTGCTGTGGCAACCTAAGCCAACATCCCAGAACAACAGAAAAACGTTTTTTTTTTTTTTTTTGGGAGAGCAGTGACTGTCCTGGTGGAGTGTTTGCACAGGAGCAAAACTAAAGGCTTCCAGCTGACTTCCAGCCAATCAGAGCCATGCTCCGTAAATTAATCTGAAGAACAGGATAACAAGTGTGTGAGGGAAACTGAGTAAATTAGCACCAACTTAAGTCATGCTGAGTTAATTTTCTTTCTGGGAAGAGAGATTCCCACGACAAAAAATTTTGACAGAAAAGTGTTTAGTAGGATATCTTTTCTCTTTTGAAAACTAATTTAAAAGAGTTGCAGATTTTCGGAATTATGTGGATCACTGTATCTGCATAGGACACTGAAGATGTGCGTCAACTCTATACTTGTACGAACATGTAAAGCTAAAATGTGGCCTTTACTGGTAATTAAATAAGAATTCTCAAGATGTAAAAATGTAATGATTTAAAGCTGAATTTAGCGCTTCGGAAGAAACTTGTCATTATTGACAGGAAATGTTCTACATAACTAATAACCTTATTCAGTTTGTTACATCCAAGGATATCCTTGGATAGACGAGAACATGCTAAGTTAGCATATTGGCTAACTGTAAAATTTAAGCTAAGGATAGCATAAAGCCACTGCTAGCATGACAGACAGTCTCCACTACTGTTAACTAACATGCTAGTAGCAGTGCTAACATTTTAGCTTACAAGCTACTGTTTGCAAAGCACTGTTGGTCAACATGCTATTTGTACCTTGCTAGGTAATACTAGCATTTTAGCTAATGTGAGCATAGCAGCCAACTTTATGAGATGACACGCATAACTCAAAGACATTCAAGTCTAATAGATGCTAGCATATTTTTCATGCTAGCACTAACCAAATAAAGGTCAAAGCTAATGCGTTTTGAGCCCAACTTATCGACAAACTATTTTATTATAAAGTGGGAGTCACAATCAAAATGTCTTCAGGAATATTTCACTTTAAAATCTATAAAACCTTGAGGGAAGTGTTTGTTTACCTGTGCTCAGCTGCAGGTACTGAAAAGCCTGGCACTGGGTCCTTGGTGCCGTAGTACTTCTTAATGACTCCGATGCCGGCCACCGTGTCTGTGCCCTTGAAGTTCACCAAATGAGCGGAGGCTCCAATGCCCGCAGTCTGTGAATGATGAGCAATATTTCAGCATTTTCTGTAACACAGTACTAATTCACGAAGATTAAAAAAAAAAAAAGAGAGAGAGAGAAATAATGGTTTTAAGCTTCGCTTTGACATAAAAGTAAAAAACACAGCAAAGTTAGCTACGCTTTTGTCAGCTGCCTTAGAACATTTGAGTGTGAAATAACGTTCTGAAGAGATTTGAAGATAGAATATTGGGAATTTATCATATTTTTCCTCTTTCAGTTACGGCAAAGGGGACTAACTCCAGTCCTTAAGAGTTGACTAAGCTTGAAATCAAATGGATGACATACTTAATAAAAATGTCACCCAGCTCTGCAGAGGCCTGCTAATGAACCATTCATTTGATTCAGCAGTGATGAATCAGGTCAACATTTAAGCACACATTACAGCGGCTATTTAGGACTGGCTGTGGACTCCACAAGATTTAAGGTGCATTACTTAGCAAAAAAAGTCATGAACTACACAGTAAATAAATTCTCTCCACCTCTTCATTATAGTGTATGTATTCATAAATCCCATCTTTCTTTAATTTATGGACACAGCATTCCTAAGTGCTACTAAGTTATGCTTGTATCAATTACAAAAGGAAGAAAAATCGAAGTTGGCATTATGAATAAGGGGGCTAAAAATTAAGTCCAAACAAGCACAGACATTGTACAGCTTTGTGTGAAAGTAACTATATTGTCTTAGATATGTTCTGAAATGTCAGTAGTTCATTCTGGATGCATGAGACGGAGAGAAAGAGAGAAAGAAAGTAGCTAACAGGAAGGCTGAGTACGGCAGAGTAACTCAGATTTATCATTTCGAACTTCTATCTGCTCTGGAAATCTTAGAAAATCTGCATTATATACAGCATACACACCGAGATTGCTATAAATTCATCAAGTAAAGCTAACCACACAAATGTAAAATGCTTAAAGTTTCCAATACACCTTCAGTCATTTTGTCTTTGTTTTAAAATAGCACAGCGTGACGTTGCCCCTGGACTTAATATAACTAATGCAATTATGGCGTAAAGGCTAGAAGAAATATTTTGAATAGTCTTCTTCCATCTTCTGATACTGTAGCCCTTAATGAAACCACAATGTCTGATTGGAAGACGAAAGCTGTCAAAAAAAAGAAGCGATTTTAAATCGGCTACTCAAACTAAAAGTATTAAGATATATCTTTTATCATTTATTCATACCTCTTGTGAAGACACACCCCTGTAGCCAAAGTCATGCAGTTTATACTCCAGTCCCTCCAGGTTCCCAGAAGTCTCCATGAGGTACTTGGCAAGGATCTTCTTTTGCTCTCTGGAGTTGGTTGCCACTGTAATCGGGTACCAGATCTGAACAAGAATAGTCTGATAGGAAGGAAAAAAAAAAAAAAAGTTTTTATAGACTTATGTTGACAAGATCTGAAAAATTCTTACTACGCAACAGCCTGGTTTTACTGTGCTCACTGGAACTAAAGCCTAAAACTAACAGGCGCTAGAGGGATGAAAGCTGAGAGCTCTTTCACACAAGGCCGACTGTGAAGGGAAAATGCATTCCTTGTTGCTTCATGCTTCGATAGCAGAGTCAGTGATTGGATGTAAAAACAAGTCGCTTATCTGCTGGATGGGAAATTTTATAAACAGTTATATAACCAAAATGCCTGCGTGTTTGTATAGGTCTTCGCCCACGTACTTTGGAATAAATGCAAATTGTTTACCAGCTTTATAGTACAGATCAAATTTATTATCAATTACTAATTTTTCTTTTTTTTTTTTTTTTAAGACGTTTGACAGGCTGATGTCTCTTCTGGGGGAAATAAAATTATAAAATTCTCTATTTCTGAGGACTATATCAAGATTAAACACATTTTTAAATTAAAAATATATCCCATGCTTTGTTGTTCTGGTTTCAATACTCTCAAATTAAAATGCACAAAAGCGAAATTTGATGCATTTAACAAATACGATTGGAAAAGAATCACAACTCTTCAGTGCCGATTGAAATCTCTGTGACTGGTTGAGTCATCTCTGACATTTACAAAATAGTCGACACTTGGTTTTTAAGTGCGCCGCACCTGCAGGTGTTAACCTGCTCAAAGTGGGCGGAGAGAACGCACACATAGGAGAGCGCTTCCAGGGAAATAATCAGAAATGATGGAATCTGTGGAAGAACCTGTTGTGTGAAACTACTTGGCGGCTCTAAGCTCTTTTTTTTTTTTTTTTTTTGGAATCGATCCATTTAGCAACTGGAACTTTAACTTGAAGTACCTGTTGCTAATTTTTTCAAGCTAACCAACTTTTTTTTTTTTTTTTAACATATCCTCTTCTCTTATCTCAACTTCCTGGTGTCATAGAGGATTTAGTTCTGGGGAGTTTGAGGAACATGGAAGCTTCACTGGTCCGTTACCTTAAACGTTTGTTGTTGAGATGTTCAATCATGACCTGACTGGACCAAAGTCCACTGTTCAAATTCATTGCTCTTACGATTTAGTGTAAAGATGTCACTCTTATCTGCGGTTCTCCAGCAGTGAGCTGTGGGTCCTTTTTTTTTTTTTATTACCATCCTCATTACTGTGAATAGTAGCAAGATAAACCACCCACACCTAACTTTAATGAGTTGTTGAGTGAGCCTACGGTAATATTGATAAGACAGTTATTTAGGTCGTGCAGAACTCGGGGAGGAGTTTATCCTTTAACATCACAGCAGATAAAAAAAAAAAAAGAGTAATCAGAGCTACAGAGTTTAGCTGAATGGATAAACTCGCATGTAAAAAGAAACGGGGGCTGTCGCCAAATTATCGGCTTTTGATTTTCTCAACGGAGATTTCACACCCCGGTCTGGACGGAGCTTTAGGAATTAGCTGGGTGATCTAGTTGTGCCTGCATTTTCACGTGAGTGCAGGTTCTGAACGCGACTCGGAAAAATGTGAGATTTTGATCAGATGTTTCATCTGATGTTTAAAGTGAGAAAACATCATCTGTGTAGAAAGTATAGCAAGCAAAAAAACAAAAACAAAAAGTTCCTAAATCTTTCATGTAACTTTCCCTGCACACATTGTGCAGCTCGTTTCCGCCGTCCGACTCTCAGCAGGTCGCATGCCTCCTCAAATATAAAAAACATCGCATGGACTCGTGACGGTCGGAGTTGCAGTGGAATTTGTGTTGTGCAGGGAAAAAAAAAAATGTATTACACGTCTCCTCGTTTGGTATCCTTAACCTGATTTTAGCCTCACGTGCAAACGCAGTCGCAAAAAAAAAAAAAAAGGAAAAAAAAGCCCCTCAGGCATGTAGAAAATAAAGAAGTTTTTGAAACATCCAGAAGATATTACAAAGGGAATAGAAAACAGAAGAGAGGACAGAAAGAGTCAGAAGCATTGACCCAGTGACGCAACCCAAGGACATCAAGATGACCGCCGAGGCTAATTTTACACCGGGCATGAATAATGTCTCCATGTGTGCGAGCATGAAGGGGAGGGCGTGGGGTTGTGCTCAAGCGTGTGTTTATACGAGGAACAACACTCACAAGGTCTGCATGTGTATAAGTATGTGGGTGTGTTAGAGTGTTGTCACAATGTAAATTCCTACTACAACAGTCACAGTGTGCACATCCAAAAGTGGGTGTGGCTTCCGAGGTACGCTTTCGCTTCCCGAAAGTTCAAAATCTGTTTGAGAAACCTCTGAGAGCGACGAGCAAAAACTTCATTGCAAAAGGAAACGAGAAAAAGACGTTAGAGGAGGGGGACCGATTAAATATTACTCATGCTGCTCGAAGGCAGTTCAGCCAAGTCGCTGTTGCGGCGCCTGTTCGCCGAGAATGACACATCGGTCCCGTTTCTAAAAACCAGAGCAACCAGGATGCGATTTCTCGCTGTTCATTATGAGAAAGCAGGATCCCCTGCAGCTCTTACATGGTGCCGTTTCACGAAGACGCCAAAATTCTTGGAAGGAAAGAAGCAAATTGACAAAAAAAAAAAAAGATGCTCATGAACAATGTGTTCCAAATGCTCTGTGGTTCAGTCAGGTTTAGAAGAGTTTTAAAGAGGATAACGCTGCCAGAAGCAGCAAGCGTTTAGCTTTTAAGGTTCGTCTTTATTAAACACAAGTCTAATTAAGTTGTTTAATGTGACGAGTTTTAAAATAGAGCAGGAACTATTGGAACCACTCCTGCGGCTACAGTCCAGTATGGAAAAACTAAACGCAAATTCATAGAGAATGACCGTCTGAAATGGATCACAACAGAAAATCAGACGGCATAAACATGAATATGGGACTTCAGAGAAACTAAGCAAACCTACCTCCACCCAGTTAGTGAGCCAGTAGCATTCGGGATCTGTGCTCTCCACTGTGAACAAAACATTGCCTCTGGGAATGACGCTTCCTTCTGGCACCGCCTTGATTTCGATGGGAAGATGGCCGTTGTATTTCTGCAAAAAAGCAAATATCCCTGTCAGAACGCTGGAGCCGCTTTTATGCTGCATTACTTCAGCTTTGCAAAAAAAAAATCTACAAATGTTTTAGATGGTTTTAGAAGTCATGAATTCCACCTTAAACACAACATTCTGGAATACAGGAATGCTTTTAGGTTAACAACTGCAGAGCGGAGAAAAATAGAAACGATGATTGATAATATTTGACAATTGTTTCCCTCTCTAAGGTTCAAAAACTCCTTACTAAACAAACAAAAAAGAGACGACTTTAATAATTATAATTTGAGTGAAAAGGAAGGAAATAAGTAAATTAAGGCAAAAATGAGTAAATAAACAGCAGTTCCTTACCTCCAAAATATAAGTCCAGCCTTTCTCATTAAAAACATCGTCCTGGAAATGTTCCCTGTACACCTCCTTTGCTTCCTGGATCTTCTCTGGAGTCACTACCTTTCCTGAGGAGGAGGGGGAGGGGAAAGAAAGGGAGTAAAGGATGAGGAAAGAGGATAGAATTCAGGCAACAGGTCATTAGGACGCTAATCTGTCGTTTATTACTTTCCAGGCTTCCTGTGCGTGCTGACAGGGCGTTCTCGTCCAATGTTACACGCAAACACGCCAAAGACCTACATGTATGATTCCGAGTCTGAACCGCTTTTTAAAATACAGAAGAGGGAGGAGACGGGCGAAACGTGAAAAGGAGAATTTGACTTTTTGGGGTAAATGTATTTGGCTACGTGGAGAGAACTGAGCATGCCACAAACAAAAACAAAAAAAAAAAAAAACAAAACTCAAACTTTTAAAGTTTGTAGAATTTTTTCAGAGTTTACTCAATAATAATAAAAAGTAAAAAATGTATCGTTCTCCTTTCATTTCACGCCCCGCTCTTGGCTTCTTTCTGGGGTTCGCCGACGGTGCTTTGATGGCCGGCCTCGTCGCTGAGCGAGGCGAGACGCTCGGCGTGGACAACGCGTCTTTCTCCTTCCAACAGTGAGGCGGCAGCTGTGCTTTTGTGTCCCGTTCTCTGTGTTCTCTCTCTCTCTCTCCCCCTCACCTCTGCCGCCACACCGTGAAATCCTCTTAAGAAGCAGGAGGCAGAGGCTTTCTTTCTGTTGATCACTGCTCATGTCTCTCAGGAACTCTTTGGAGCATCAGACTTCACCTACTTTAGTTAATAATTAGAGCAAATAGACTTTTTATGCTGAGTTCAAGGCTGCTTTTCATAATTTTTTTATTTTTTGGTTGCTTGAAGTTTTTGATCGTGTTTATTAGAGAATTTAACTTTTAGTGAAAAAAAAAAAAAAAAAAAAAAGAGGAAACGTACCTTTTAAGTATTTGTGAAGGATGTACTGCAGGCCGTAAAAGACGGTTTTGTCATATTTGACTTTTCTGCTTTTGCTGGGATCCGTCCTTTTCTCGCGGCACTCGAAGTAGGAGTACACTTTACTTGTGTTGGGGGGGTACTGTTTGTAATGAGTCACCTGTCGAGACACAAATACAATTTTATGTGATTTAATGAAGATTGCCCCTCTAAACACCGTCAGGAAGAAAACATAAAAAAAAAAAAACAGGAAGAAGCCTCATGAACTCTGATCACACACTTCCTTCCCTTAGTTATTAGCTCATTAAAAAGCTTCACAATGCAGGATTTCAAAACTGCTATGACTCACAAACACAAACTGGGACATATTATTACATTATAACCACAAATTGGTCCCCCTGAGCTCAGCTTATGTGTAACATAAATACCAAAGAAAACTGATTAAATTTGTGACTGCAATGTCAACCTGTACAGAGTGTAAATACTTATGCAACAAGCTCTACTACTGACGTGAAAGAGGAGGAAAGTGAGTGTTATTTTGTATGGCTTTTAAGCTGAGGTGTGCATATTGAGTCACAAAAGAAATAACTGATGGTACACCTGAAAAAAAAAAATGAAAAAAAACGTCTCATCTGGAATGATAAATGCACTAATGACCTGAGATTGGAATATTCTTAAAAAGCAGACCCTCATCCGTCATCAAAAAGGGAAAAAAAAAAAAAAAAAAAAAAAAACCTCCTACAAAAACGTCACAATCAGAACAAAAACGTGTGGGATTTTCAACTTTCTCCTCCGTCCCGACCGCGCCATTGTTCGCGGAGGGAGTTTTGCGTGCTTCATGCGGGATCCTCTAATCTACGGCAAACAAGTCAAGCGTCCAAACTCAAACTCAGCGGCATGTGAACTTAAGTAAACAGTGTGAGACGTGTCCGGGCGTGTTTCAAACAGAGACTGAAAATAAAGGATCATGCTCTCCCAGATGGCTGGTGCCACGCGGGCATCAATTAAATCTCAAATGAGTACAAAAATGTCCTCGGGGTCCTGCTGGAGGATTCAATGATTTAACCGTTTTGGCGCCACAGCACAGAATCCGCTCCCTGCATTTTGTAGCCGCTGAGAAGAAACGGTAGGCGGAGATTTACGAGTGAACGAATGAGTCAAAGAGTAATTAAGAGCAAAAGATGGCATTCCCTCGACTCAAAGTCGCACGTTTGTCCTTCAGTCGGCGACAATCTCTGAGGGATAAAATAAAAGAGCCTAATTTTGCACATGACGGGTAGATTAAAGATGGGGAGGAAGTAATGGAGCGGCCCCGGGTAAATGTCAGCGAACTACTGAGTTTCTTTGACCTTACCGTGTCCTTTCCGTGGAGCTTTCGAGGACTCAAAATAGAGCCGAGACGCTGAACATGACACTGAGCCGGACCGCGTGAGCTCGTGTTCTGCTCCACGCGCCCAGATGTTTACCGGCACACAGCGTTTTCAAATTCAAAGAAACCGGTGTATCGTCCAAGGGTAATAACCGTTTGTCGGCTGCTGTAGCAGGACACGAACGAAAAGTAATTAGGGAGCCGAAGGGAGGACATACTAGATCACAGATCAGACTCCGTTTAGTTCATATGACAGATTTATTTAAGGAAGCGACATCGGCATGATCCGAACAAGACGGGTCAGAGGTGTCATGGTGTGTCGATAATCGTAAAGACAGCAACAATGACGATGTGTGGCGTTTCTTTTCTCCCTCAACTGTTCTGCGTTTGACTCATGGTGGCAGCATCATGCTGTGGGGGTTATTTTGATCAGGAGTAACAAGGAGAGTTGATGGTAAGATGGATGGAGCTGAATGCCGGGAAATACTGGAAGAAAACCTGTTAAAGGTTGCAAAAAAAAAAAAAAAATATATATATATATATATATATATATATATATAAGATATATAAAAAATAGTTTTGCACACTTTTTGCTTTCTGTTTTGTTACATCAGAGGGTTCATATCTGAAGCTACACGTATGAGGATTCCCTTTCCGTTTGATGCCAACGCTGAACGGGAAAATGGCTGCGGGCGAAAACAGAACAACTCAAATGATTTGGTTTAATTACACCAAAACACAGAGCACTTGGCAGGTCAAACCAAGTACACGCGTACATGTTACTCCTCTGTTTTTTTTCTTTGTTTAATGTGAGAGTTTCCACCCTCATGTTGACAATTCCCAAGATGTGAATCAGATTTTTCCATGACTTCTAACTATTTTTCCAAGGATTCATTGGTGTTGTATAAACACCGCGCAGCTGCACTCGTGGTGCGACACCGGACTTGCGTATCCAGACAAAAGGCACACTTTAATGGCTTTAATCAATAAATGCACAAGCTGCTTTGACTGACAAAACAACACATGCACGGCACTTATTCTTTTGTGCAAGAGGCTCAAACTGATTCCAAATAAGCCTAAGAGAATTATTGTGTTTGGCTTGACCTTGTTTACCTTTTGCATGACTCAAAAGAAAGAAAGAGAAAACTCCTAAGAGTTTATTTCAATAAAATTCAGCTGACATCACTGGTGTCGTTTATGCATCATTTTCGTCTGACTTCAAGGTACAAAATGTTCTTAGTCGTAATAACTGGAAATGTGACTAAGTTGGAATGGCTGTTAAACGTCCTTTTAATTGCAAGCCGGAGAAAGTTCTTTCCTGCTGCTTGTAAAGGTGCTGCCCCTCCCCAACCTGTTTCTTCACTCCATTAGTCATAAGGCTGAAAGAAGGCTCTTGCACTTATAATGCCTTGCTTACAAGAAAAATAATTTAATTTCTTTAGAAATAGATATAATCGCGTAAATTCAAGAGGGTAATGGCGTGGAAGGTTAAAAAAAAAAAAAAAAAGAAAAAAAAAGCGCCACCCACTGGTCTCATTAGATAACAGAATTTATTTTCTCTAAAAACTCCAGAGAAATGCATTACCCTCCAACTAAATTATACACTTGCTGTACATTTTTGCTCAAGCATATGAATCAAAATGATACAAGCGACATTATGTACCTGTATCGAATGAATCGATATCAATTTCTTCAAATATAAAACGCCATATTATGAAATATAACTTGTATTAAACTTGAAGTAATTCGTTCAACTTAAACATGTATTTTGTAGCTTTTATCTGAGATTTCCCAGTCAGACTGAAAACAGTTAATTTATTTCAGGAAAAAAGGAGATGGCAGTGAGAAACATTAATATTTGCATTTTAACTAGCAAAAGATACAACACGTCGGTTTCAGGAGCAAAATACTTATTCGGGTTTGCAGGAAAACATTAATGTCTAAAGGGTAATAAAATCTCACCAGGGTTTATCGGTTCTCTGCTTAATGGGGTTTGTAGTTCTGTCAGAATATCATAAAACCTGTATTCCTCAACCAGACGAAACTACAAAACAGACAAGAGCGTAACAACCGGAGACGCAATGACAACACAAAGTAAAAATGTAACCAAAACTAAATATAATTTGGTTTATTTTTCCTACTTTTTAGTTCCTGGAGTGAGTTTTTTTTTTTAATTTATTTAAATACACATTTAGTGATTGAAAAGCCCATTAATGTTACTTCATCAGCCACTTGAATCCCATCATGCTACATATTTATGCTCTTTTGGATAAATTGAATCATATTTTTCCTTAAGCTCATCAATTAGTTTAATTATTATTATTTAATCAATTACCTTTACAGGGTGAGGCTCATTTATGATGCAATGCTAATATTATGAAATGAGCCATTACTTACAATGTACATGACTTTTCCAGCCACACATTGACGTTGTTACCGTCAGACTCATCTTGGTTTCCTTTTCACACAAATGAAACCACAGGTGTGTAGTGCCGACCCATTTATCCTTTAGCATTTCCAGTATGAAGGTGAACTTGAAGCTAATTTGGATCATGTCACTTTTTATGGCTTGTGTGAGACACACTGTGTTTGAATCGATTTAATTCATTTGGCAGAGGTAAATCATTGATCATTAGTCACGACTCTTTTCTTAATTAAAAAACTATTTGTCCAAACACTTTATTTACTTAGTACAATAAAATATGATCTTAGATAGCTGCTGTTCATTATGATTTATGAACAAGATAGAAAAGAAGCTAATTAAAGGTCAAACACACTATAAGGTGGTCAAAAATAGTTTGAATTTGAGCTACACCACAAAGCATACCTAAAACTAAACTGAAACTAAGGAAAGCAGAAAGCAAAACCAGTCCACCTTTAACGACAAATGACTCAGCAGTTTTAATTCTCCGTTTGCTATCCTGAAGATAAATTAATTTCTTGAAAATACATTTAAAACAATTTAAATGTATTTTAAACATTTAAATATACATGTTTAAAATAGACACTTGTAGAGTACTCTGCAAGTGTGTATTTACTCCATTACACACTTCATGCAATGTAAGATCATGATCAGAAGCTTCGATGGTTTTGGTTTCTGCCATTTCTAACTTCGGGTATTTTTTTTAATACTTCATTTTATTCTGAAGAATGTCACAAGATAGAAATTAATAATGAAATCTTTGCAATCTAGGTTCACGCTTTAAACCAACCTGATTTGATTACTGGGCTGATTTGCTGCAGAAAACATCTGACACTTGCCACATACTTCTGCTTTTTATACATTTCACAGGTTTTTACAAGGTTGTCAGTTCAGTTTCATGAACAAACGCTTCTTTTTTCTTCCCAACACTGGTGACATCAATTCCTAATAAATTCATTTTAAAAGGTGCACGGTTAGCATTTTAGACATTAATAGTTTGGATAATTTTGCCTACTTTCACATAGCCTCTCTAGATCTAGAACATAAGAAACTAGATCTAGGTTATTTTGACGTATATTATAAATATTTTTAATTATTTATATAAAAATCCTTCAGTTCTGGGAGTAGTCAGGATGCTAGTGGCTAAAGAACCTAAACTAATTTGTCCAAAAATGTTATGAAATACAATTTATCTAAATGGTTTTTAAAAAAGGGGAAATATTTTTACACCTTATGGCTTCATTATAGAGAAACTTCACCCCTCTGTCGACATGCAACATATTTTCTAATACAGGTTTTTATTTGTAAGTGTTAATATACTGTGCTAAACAAATTTAGCCAAATTTACATTTCTTAAAAAAAGATTTCAACACTACTCAGTGACTGGACTCTTATGTTTAAACTGGAGGATTTTTAAAAAATATTTATCATTTTCCCATTAAAAATAATATATATCACAGCTTAATTTTACCTAAATGTGACCGTTAGCTAGTTAGCTTTGCTTAGCATTATGCACTCATCAGCATCCTGTTGTCACATGACCTGTGCATGGAAACCACTGGCTACGTGCTGTAAAATCATTACACGCACATTTGGTCTGTGTACATTGTAATTAAGAGTCGGTGTTTTATTTTGCCATTACAGCCTCCATTACCTTAAGCGGTAACTGGGGTAGAAATTTTCCGAGCGGATAAATAAATAGCACGACTTTGGACCCAAGGCAACCATGCTGGCACGAAAATAAAATTGGTGCGTTTTGCTTTTAACTTTCAGTTTTGTTTTCTCGAAAGTCACTCCAGGTTAATGTTTCACCACCGATAGACAGTGAGACTTTGCCCAAGTGTGGCTAACCCGGACAATTCGCAAAGCACTTGGTAGCTTTTGGCCAAAATTAGCTTTATATATATATATATATATATATATATATATATATATATATGTCAATCCCCTCTTTCAACCTCTTGCGGTCTCTGTAAGCTAACTGGCTAATTCAGCTAGCTGAATACAACCATGACCAGATGAGCCGACTGGTCATGGTTGAACAGACTCCATAAAAGCAGCAGCCGCCCAGGGTGGGAGTCTGCTAGCTCACAGAGAAATGCCGCCTGTCTGGATTTCTCTCTCGGCGGTACAAGTGCTCCCCTCCTCCAGCTCATTATGCCTGCGCTATCCCGAAAGACACCGGCCACGCAGAGCAGCGTGATGGCCTTGGGTCTGGTGATGAAACCACCTTGACTTGATCAATTTCCATTCCGTGCTCACCTCGCTCCCACCCGGCCTCCCCTCCGAACACATCATGGATACCGTACCTTGTAGGAGTCGGTCGCTAGCAGTATATTGAAGTCGGTTTCTCTCGGCTCCATCTTCCCCTCCTAGGTTGTAAGTCGCGGCTGTCAGTGTGTTGTGTTGCGCGCCCTACTGCCAGAGGCACCAGAAAGTGAGGGGAGGAAGGACAAGGGGCGGACGCTGTGTCGTCACAAACTCTCCGGCAACTCTCGTTTATGTTCGGGAGTCCCTCGGCTTAAACAAAGATCGTGTATCTTTACAAAGAAATCTCAACACTTTTTCTTCTACAAGCCTTTGAGACAATGCTACTTTTTCGATTTAGAAAAGGAAATACCCTTCCTATCCCACTTTTTAAATTTTTAAGTATGTAATTTTGGAACAACTAGCTTTTGCAACAAAAAAGGAGCACAAATGTCAAAATTCTGCAATAAATAAATAATTAAATGCAAACAAACATCGGTATACTGCTGACTGAAACACTTTCTGTTCAAAAGGAAATCCTTCCCATAGACATTTACATACAATATATTACATAATTACGAGAGTAAACATGTAATTTATTGTGCCTAACTGGTGAAACTGAATTTTGGCTGCACTGCACACCTTATATTTTCTTCTCGTATTTTCGGCAGATCATACATGGGACATTTTAGGACGACAACCGCTTTATTTTCAGCTTTTCCTTCTAGGTTGAAGTTATGACACACAACCGCGAAGTGCTGGCACAGTGGGAGGCCAGAGTGGCACCGGCGCAGTGAGACATTCCATCCCGTTGGACGGACGCGTTTCTCGGCCAATGGTAGCGATGCACTCCGCTCTGTCATCCCGGCGGAGGGCGTGGTTCACTCTGGAGCAGCGTGCTGTTTCCGCATGTCAATAAAAAAGAAGTCTGAAATGAAGAGAGGAAGTATGATCTAGACGAAGCCTACGAGTGCTGTTTCTAGTTTTGCCTGTTCGCAAAGTAGGCATAAAAAAAACCCCCCCATGCGGTCACATGATGAGCAAGTGAAACCAGATGTTAGGTGCTGCCTAAGTATAAGGACACAGTTTTATGTGGACGGATGGTGCCATAAAACAAAAGGACTCAGTAAGACATGCTAAAGCTGAAGGAACAGTTTGATCTCCAGAGAGACGTGGTGTTTGATCTTCTCAAGAAAGAGGCATCGGTGTGCAGGGTGAAAGGTGAGGCGTTCAGGTGTTCGCGGAGTCAGTTTGTTAAAAAAATAATAATAATAATAATAATGAATGAGCTAAAATGCTTAAGTGATAATGTGCGTGTTATTGCTCAGCAAATTCATTAAAAGCCAACTTTAGTCAGCTCGAAGGAAATCTGAATGGCTCTGATTTGTTGTGTTTACGAACACTGCGTGTAATAAACAGCAGGTGGGGCTGTTTGCCACGTTATAAGAAGGAAACATTTCAAAACAATGCACATAATAGTAATAAAGCATGTGTAAACATGCATAAAAGAAAATACTTAGGGATATTTGGAACTCTGTCATGGTGCATTTTACAATGTGTTGAATAATTTAAATTTAAAATTTAAACAACAAATCTGTAGTTTATTCCTACAAATAAAAATCAAGGTACATTAAATTTGTATCTATAAAGATGCAACTGTATAATTGCGAAGCAAAATGCAAAATCAAATTCTAAATTTATTCTGAAATATTTTCAAATAAGGAAATTGAAATTTCATATTTTAGATCAAAGGATGGTCCAGTCAAAAGTTGAGACCTAAATTTGATTCAAGAATCTCTAGCAAGTGTTTGAAATTTGACAAAATGTATAACCCCCCAAAGTGGTATGAATGTTTTTGAAAGGCACTGATGATAACGTTGCACTTGCAGAATACTCTGAAGATGTGGACACTCGCATCCTAAACATCGAAAGAGATGGGAGTGTACTTTACTCTTGGAAGGTAAGCTCACCGTCAGTCACATGTGAGAAGTTTTATATTCACACATATAAGATTAACATTATGTTGGTGCCATTTAAAATGCTTTTTCTTTCCATTACATTGAAGTAGATTTCCCGGATGATAACTCTGATAACGCATGTAATATTGAAGATATTTGTCATTTGAAGAGTGTAATAGGGTATAATTGTTATTGCACATCAGAAATCATTCTACATTGATGTATTATTAATGTAGCTCTCTCATAAAAAAGTATTCTTGTATGATCATGGCTTTAAGGCTGCTTCACCCTGTGTTGAATCTATCATGAGTGAAGCATTAAAATTCAAGGTTTTCATGGGTGTCTGCAATCCATCCTCAAGTTAGAGCCATCAAAAAAAAAAAAAAACATCTCTCTTGATTCTGCCATGAATCAGCTCGACACTTTTGGGTATTTTTGGAATCGTTTCTAGAATTGGAAACCAACGTCTGCTCTTTTGCTGCAAGGTATGAATGTTTAATGATGGACCCCCTGAAGAATGTGTTGCTCTTGGAGGTTGAAGGGTGTGAATGACTGTCAGCTCTTTTCAGGGTCTGAGTTGAAAGGGATTGTTTCTCCCCCCACCCCAATATCTAGTGTGATTGTACATTAGTTTTTATATCAGACTTTTTATTATATTAAAACAAAACAAACTAAAATAATGGATTTGAAGTCATGTTAGCAATGTCTTTCAATCCCATTCAGCTCATGTCCTGTATGACAAGTAGTGCTACTTGCTTCAGGCAGATTAGGAGTATTAACCACATATTGGCAGAGGAAATGTGCTGAGCTTAAAATAAAGCAGATCAACTCAAAGCTTATTTCACAAAAACAGCATTATTGAATTCAAAAATGGTTTTAGCTGAAGGAAGTTTGAAAATATCCTAATGAATTTTAATTTAAAAAAAAATACAGTTTTGCAGCTTGTTTTTGTTTTACAACCTCTGGGAGTTGTACAATCAAAGTTTTAGGGGGAATTTTGCTGAAATGTCCACTCCGAAAGAGGCAAGCTAAATCTTTCAGAAATGTTTTCCGCTAATTAGTAATCTAGAAGGTCTGATTTTCTGATTTTCAGTTTAGAGACGATTTAATGACTCCTCACAGGTTGATGGAAGCAATTATTTCAGATCGTTGCCAATGTTTTTTTTTGTTTTTTTTTCCCCCCTCATTTGGCGTTGTGCTAAACACCTGTCTGCTCCAGAAAGGCAACCTGCCAACACTCGCTGCTTTTATAGAAGAAGCTACACTCCCTGATCAGCAGCACCTGACTACTTATTAGCTCCAAAATTCTTCAGAAAGGCTGAAATTAGTCATTTCTGGAATTGACCATTTCAACTTTTTAATAGAATTCTGTGCTGTTCTTTAAAAGGGAGCAACAGTCACCACAAGGATTGGGAAATACGACCCAAACACTAAACAGAACAAGGTACAAAGTTGCCACACACACACACACACACACACCTCCTTTATTTTCACTTATTCCACGACTGCACACCTGCACACTCAACTCTATGCCTTCTGCCCCGTCAGCTCCTCTACACATTCGACAAACAGGTCTGTGTCAGCAGCTGCTCTCTGAACAAGGAAGAGACTCTACTAGGTGAGCTTTGGTCATGTATGGAATAAAAATCTAACAATTGAACTCGGTTGTTGACCTCAAATAAAGTTTTAAGAGTGTGCGTCTGGAGACATGTATAACTTTACGATGTTATAATGCAGGAACTTTAAAACCAAGGGAGAAACTCTTGCATATTCTCTGCAGCCATGCCAAAAGGATAGTTAATGAATACAGATTTAGTGCGACTGTTTCTGCAGCATGACTTTGGCTGTTTTTTTTTGTTTTTTTCTTTTATGCCTTCAGCGGTCAGCTTGGCACAGAACACCAGCGGACAGGAGCGCCTCAAACCAAGTAACGCACCAGAAATGCTGTCTTCTATTTGAGCCCGTTAAATAATTTAAGCGCTGAATGAATTTGTGGTTTGATAGAAACATTTCTCCATCATCCCCTGCCTGTCTAGTATCAAAGTGTCTGACTCTGCTGATCGAGATTCACCCCATAAACAACACCAAGGTGCTGAAGGCGGTGGACTGCAGAGTCAAAGTGCAGGTAGAGTTAAAGATGCGCGAGCCGTGTTCCCACCTCCTAAAATTTAATAGCAACGGCCTGAAATCAGGTCACGTTTTTTTTTTGTTTCCCCCATTTCAGATTTTAGAACAAAGAAAAAACATTAGAATAAACATACATTTAGACATTTTAACTGGTCCAGATGAACGTTGACTGACTACAAACTCACGCCAAACCGTTCAAAATTAAGCGTTATTGCTGCATCTGACCACTAGTTGGCAGTCTTTCGCCTTCTCAGTTTTCATCCAGCATTTAAAATGTTGGTTTTGGATAGTTTTCATCAAAATGTGCTCATCATCAAAGCTGTAATTTAGCTGTGTAGAATAGTAAAAAAAAAAAAAAAAAACATATTCTTTGATATTGCTAGTTTAAATACGGTAATCGTGTTTGGAAAAAGGTACACTGTTCCAATTACCTCAACGGCATCTTAGCCTGAAGTCAAGATTTATCTCATGTCTTTTTTATTTGAATTTGTTAAATCTAATTATCACGTCTTTTTTTACACGCCACTGTACGCCTTTAATTGAGCTTGCGTGGAGATGTTTTATCATTTGGAGCTAATTTAGGATGCAGATTATCCAGGAGAAAAATCTTCACGCGTTCTTGAGGTGGATTACATCCTTAATCATAAAGCCGTCTTTAAATTAACATTAACCCGTATTAGAATCAGGATACTACAAATGTGCAAATGAGTATACTTGAATATTCATTGCTCTAACAAAAAAGAAAAAAAAAAAAACATCTCAAATACCTGCTTCCTGCAGGTAATTCATGCAACACAGGGAAACAAGCATTTTTTCACTTCAATGAAGGTGTTGCATAAAACTCGACCACAATATCAACCAAAACACGAAAAACAAAAGCATTCGGCGTTTTAAGTCAGAACATTGTGGCTGTTTTTTAAAAGTCTATGTCGTTGGATGTAAATGGTGTGTCTTCGAATGCTTACTCAATCAATATCAACGTGGGCTCTACGCTGGCTCTATTTAATCCGCGTCGTCGTTTGTTTCAGTTCCTCCATCAAGAAACCGAGGCGAAATCAGCGCTGGAGAGCCATCTGCTGCTGCTCGCTGAAGATGGATGTCAGTGTTCTGTGCATCGTTTTCTGTTTAATGCTCA